GTATGTTACAAATGGAATATGTGCTACTTTAAAATAATTTTTTTGCTATAGATTTGTATCGATTTTGTTAAAAACAACTTGTAAAAGAACATTGTTTTCTTATATTAAATGATAAATTGTTATTTATATGATTTTTATTAATGACAGTTTTTAAATATTTTTTTATATTTGTTTAATATAAAAAGTTGTTTTAATTGATAAAGAATAATAAAATTATAATTTTTCTCTTAAATTATGTTATTTGTGAATAATGAGAATAATGCTGCTCGATTAAAAAAAATAAAAGCATTAACATGTGTATTAAAAGTAAAAATTATAAGTTTGCTCCTCCTTACATTGTGTTAAAAATAATAAAAATATTTTTGCATGTTATGTGTCATGTGTATTGCATTACTATGACATGATAATAACTATATTAATAAAATAATAGTTCATTAATTGTAGGGGATTTAGAAAAATAAAATTAAAAGTTAGGGGGTTAATTTTAAATATTTAAATGTAAAAAAAACTATATACAACTATTTTAAAATTTATATTTTTTTATATATTTTAACTGCTGGAGTGAGGAGAGAAATGGCTCCCCTGTTAAATACTCTTTTTTAGAATTTAAAAACATTTTCTCTCTCATATGAAACCTCTTACTACTCAGAAAATTGTGCAGGCATAAAATTGGATGGGAGTAATTAATATTTCATCTATTTATGTGAAGTGCCATCAATTTTATATAGGTAATTTATATATAAGATCGGAAGAAATACCTACTACAGCTTTCCATGTTTAGAAAATGTAGAAGCGACTCCAACTAGTGTTTTATATAACAGATTGATTATTATTGACATAGTATTTGTATCTGCCAAGTTCTTTCAATTTAGTTAGCTGTTCTTTAGTTTATATTAATTTTTTGTGTAAATGATCAAATTACTCTTTTGACCTTTAGATCAAGTGGCACTGTAAATTTTGAATTCGTTTATTGTATTTTTCCTTCAACTTTTAAAAAATGTGCAATTTGACCTTGTCATTAACAAAAGTTTATTTTACCTCAAAAATTATAGTTTTAGTCATTTTCTGCAATTTTTAAATTTTTTCTTATCATTTTTTAATCAATTAATGATTAAAGTTAACTTTTATTAATAACAAGGGCGTATTGCATCTTTTTAAAAAGTTTAGGGAATAATTTACACAATAAATAAGTTTAGTTTTTATAATACTATTAGATCTAAATTTCAAGAGATAATTTACTTATTTACTCTAATTTTTTTTACATGTGCTTTCAATTGTTACTCTCCTTTTGAACAATTCCAACAACCAAATGGCAGAAGTTATGGCTGAAATTTAAATGCGAAAAAATTATATACAAGTCTCATATAAAAAAATTAGTTACCTATAGGTCTTATCTATTTGTAGATATTGAAGCTAAGTTTGACAAGTAAATATTGAAATTCGACATATAAAGCTGAAAAAAATAATTAATTTTCTTACTTAGAACCTTCTTATAATATAATTCTCTTTTCAGTGGGCATGGCAGAATCAACACATGATTGAACCATCAAACGGAAATGAAGAAAATGATGCTAAAGATAGTGAAATTAACTTTACCAATACAACAAGAAATTATTTATGAAGTAATTGCAATGCAATCAATTTGTGTTTTCTCTTGTTTTTTTAACCCTCAAGACTCGACGCTCGCAAGTCCCTCTCAAACACATTAATCTTGGATATTGATCCAATTTTAGAAAATTCTCAAAGAATTTAATATAGCAATCAATAAGTTCTGGTGGGGATATTATGTAACTCAGTGACAGCTAGACATCAATAATGTAAATCCCTAAATGGATAGTGTCCCCAAATTACTTTTTATTTTCTCATTAAGTTCATATATCTAGAAATAGATAAGTGCTCACTAGCTAGTCTATGATGATTTAACACTAATATACAATTACCCCGGTCCCACCAAAGAAATTTAGCAGATTTTATAACTTTAATGCTTAATACTTGTTCCAGGTCACAAAAAAAAAAAAAACGCTTAATACTTGTTTGTTTCTGTTTGTTTTCCTTGTCGTTGTGCTTTAAATTAGAAACTTGTATACACTCACATGGGATGAGAATATTCGTTGCTTTTTTTTTACTTGAAAACTTAATTAAAAATATATAGTTTTTGTGTTCTTAAAAAATTAGATGATTTTTTTGATGCATTTCATTGATAAAACGATGGGCTAAAGTTTATGAGTTATGACAGATGAATTATATAACTTCTTATAAATTACACACCATACATGTTGATATATTGTCATGACTTCATGATAAACAATAAATGATTCATTTATGCCGATGTGACATTAATAATGGATAAATAATACTTCATTGAGGCCAAATTATAAGCTTTTTTTAGACAAAATTTATATATACATATATATATCAATAAAAGTTATTAAATATATTTTATAATTTTATTTTTTTATAATAAAAAACATAAATTTTAAAAAATGTCTTTTATTTAAAATTTTATTTAAAAAATAATAGTAAAAAGAAGTGATATAACAAGAAGTGTAATATTAAAAAAATTATTTTGTTAAAATATTTTATATTTTAAAATGATGAATTTTTACCAAAAGTATCTCAAGTGGGGGTGGTAACTAAATAATGATAAATAATTTTAATTTTACATTCTCTCTAGTAAAGTTAGGACAACAGGGTTAGGTCGGTTGGGTTGACTCATTTAAGCCAAAAATTAGGCAAGGTAGAGCTTGTAATTTAGGAATTAAAAATGGCATTTAGGTTTAAAAGAATCAACCCTAATGGACTTGATTATATGGAATAAAATAATAATTTTTTAAACATGAAATTTTGAATTTGAGCTTATATAAATATAAAAAATATTTTAAGAAAGTTATTCAATGATATTCAAATGTGATGTAATAATATTAGATCATATATAAAAGAAAAAAGAAAAAAATTAACTTAAAAGTAATGCTTCATAAAAATAGTAGGAAAAAGCCTATTGCAGAGAAAAAATTATGCCATACTTAAGCAATACTGGAAAATAAGACTAGTCATGTATTTTGATTAATATAATCATCAATATCAATTATTAATTAAGTCCAGTTCGAGGTAGTATCTAACAATAAACATATACACCTCTCTCAATAAAAATTAGAAACTTATGTAATATTTAGTAGATAGAAAAACATTTTTTAAAAAATAAGAAATACATCTAAAAAGTAATTTTTTTTAAAGCACCAAACATTCTTTATTCATCATCAACTGGTTCAACCTCATGGGTTTTTTTTTTAATAAAAAGTCAAATATATACAATAAAAGGAAAGAAAATAAAAGTTAGATATAATAGTATTTACAAGGACAAAGAGTAACAAAAATATCAAATGAACATGTAGAGCTGCACTAGGAAATAGACTTTTTGCTAAAAAGGTGAAGAATGAAGAAGATGTGCAATGTCACGTTTACAAGCTTCCAACAAAATACTCCCAACTTCATCCTTTAACATAGTCCCAAACTAGAGGAAGTGAATCCACTTGAGGTCTTTCAAATCCCAATTCTATCCTTTACAATATTGATGAATCTAATGAAGTAAGTTATGAATACATACAATCGGAAATCCTTGCAAAAACAAAAATGGGGATTTCTTGAAGATTATACCCTACAAGTGAACTTCATCCAATTTAATTCCAATTGCTATGTGGAATTTCTCTATTTTTCTTGAACTTCATGCATTCTATCCTCCATGAATATATTGAAGTATTAGATCTAATCTGAGCCTCCATGACAATTTGGTCTACAATTCTTAGTCTCCCAAAAAGAGCCCTTGTCAATACTAAGAGTTGAGGTTATTGGAACTTGAAGAGTAGAGTCTAAATTGCAAGCCATTTTTATGAAATTCATTTGACCCTTGAATTCTTGTATGACCTAATTGGGAGTGATTTTGATTCCCTCATGTAGAACTAGATTTCTTTTATGCCAATTAATCAAAGTGAAAATACTTTCAAGGAGATAAAACTCTTTATCCATGATCAAGGCATTTGTAATTCTTCTGAGCCAGGAAATAAAACCATGTTTAGCTAAGGAAGAAGAAGATTTAAAATATTTAATGGAGTAAACAAAAGTAAATTGGATCTTTTATTAATGATTATAATAAAACCCCAGAAAGGATCCTATATTTAAGGCAGGAGAAAGTATCATAATTTTCAAGGCTTTATTTGCTACAAGTTCCACACCCCCCTATGTATATAGTTTTTCTAATTATTTTTAAAAGTTAATATTTTGAATTTATCATATCAATATTAAGTAAATCAATAGGTGTTGTTAGTAGAAAGTTTTTCTTGACCATAGAAATATGATATCATATAAATTAAATTAGAGTAATGACCTTGTTACAAAGCTAAAAATAAATATTCAAACAAGCAAAAAACAACAAGAACAACAACAAAAACATAACTAAAGCAAAAAAACTAGAAAGAAAAAAGGGACAAAACAAATAACAACAATCAAGAAACTCTCTAAAGCATAAATTCTAAATTAATTTTAACTTTATTGAAGTTTGAGCAACTCAATAAGCAATTTAGTTGTTAATTTTTGAATTTCACAAGAATAAAAGTCAGTAGAGGGGATTACAATTGCTTGAATATAAAGTCTTAAGTTTGAGATTGTGTAGATATAGAAAATATTTTTAGAAAATTATTCATTAAATGATATAATATTATTAGATCTTAAGATCATTGCATCCAAAAAAAAAAAAAGTTAACTTAAGTAATGCTCCCTAAAAATAGTAGGAAAAAGCATGCTATTGAGAAAAATTTATGCCATGCTCAAGTAATACTGAAAAATAAGACTAGTCATATACATTTTAATAAATATAATCATTAATCATCAAATATCAATCATGAATTGTTAATTCGAAACTTAATTTGTAATGAAACTAATGTGAAGAGTCCAAACCATGGGTTAAAAGCATTGCTTGTTTTGGGCAATATTACATTGTCATTTTGGGGACTTCCGGAGGGGAAACAAAGTAGTCTCTCATGCTCAGGGAAAGAGGAAAGAACTCTTTCTCCTTTTCGTTGAGAGACCCGTCCAGAGACACGGTTCTTCGGGCTGCAGAGTCAGTCAGCCACTATGTCTCTGGGATACGCCGAGAGGCTTTCGTTCATTGAAGATGTCGGCAACGTTGGAATGAAGGAATACTTCGACTCAACTCACGCTTTGCGAGAAAAAGTGAGTTGCTTCTTCTTCTCACTCACATTCTTGCTCTTCTTCATTAAGTTATTGTGCTCTTTTTCCCTTGTTTTTACATGTCGTTGTTCAAACTAGCTTTGATCATCTCCTCTAACTTCTATGCTTATTAATGCTGCGAAACATTATTCTGTTTTTGTTCCTGTCTCGCTTGGTTAAATCTGGCAATCTGGCGCCTGTGTTTCAGCCGTTTGATTTACCAATTTCTGAGGAATTTGCTAGGGTTGTACTGATTAAGCTGAAATTTGATTGCTCATGGATATATTGTTCGTATGTAGAAGCCATTGTTGATCATCAACATGATGCAAGATTACGATACGCATTAGTTGTTTTGTCTGAGAAACACTTTGGAATTTAGTGAATTTGTGCTCCCACGATTGTTTTGATGAAATGATTAATGTTTTAAAATATTGAATGTTGAATAGGAGTATGCTTGGGTTTCGTTGAAATTGAATTCGACTGCAGAGTGATATATTCCTACTAGACATTGTTTAATATGAGAGTAATCAATAATGTTCATGCTTTTGTGCATAAATCAGGCTTCTCTTACATAAATTCCAATTCCTTTTCTCAGTTTGAGTATCGTAAGAAATGGAAGTTGTTATATAGAATTTAGTGGAGACCGGCTTTAATTTCAGAAAGAATTACCAATTTTTTTTTTCCCACTTTTCATCACTAATCGATGGTGTAGTAGTCATTCAAGTGTTTAATTCCTGATTGAGTTGTAACATACTGTAAACAACAGCTCCAGGACAATTAGATGCCTGAGTTGGTTGTTTATAACTTATTCAGATTTCAGACATCTTGCAAATGATGCTTTGGTTTCTCTCTCTATTTTGTTTTACCCAAACGAGGACCTCCCTCCATTTTCCTAACCAAATGAGAGGAGCGAAAATTTCTCCTCCCCTTCCCCTCCCCTCCCTCCAACCAATTAGATCCTAAGTGCAGACTTTAACAGATAAGAAAGAGAACAGTCCGAAGATTAAAGAGTTTGAATGTTGGAGATATTGGGGTGGAAAGTGGAGACCATTGATGTAGCTGCCACTATAAAATAAATCAATCCTAACAGATACATAATTGGAATTCAACCAATCTTGACACTAACAAGATTGAAGTGAAACTAATGGAAGATTGAAGGATTTCTATGAGTTTACTACAAATAGTGCTATTAAGATCTTTCATTAACCCTTAGCCCCAGGATCAGATGTGGGTCACTTGGTCATGCACTCCATATCCAAGTTCCAATCCTCATAAGCAGGTAACAATCCTTTCCTTGCCCCATAAATGATCAACACACACTATAGTGGGAATTACAAAGAAACCAACGGAAACAAAGAGCAAAGGAGTACTGCAGAAGGCAGACCAAGAGAGAATCCAAGCAATATGCGCAAATCATGTCTTTACCATATCCAGACCTGCTAAGAGGAGGAAATAAAAGTGATCTGTAGGAAAGCACAGCTTGGATCTAAGTTTGAGATGGCTTCTACAATAGATAAGGCTTGGACACGCACAGCTAAAATTCAGCAGATGGAAATTGAGATGAAGCAAGACTCAAATCTACACCCATGCATCCTATGCTAGGCAGGGTGGTGCATCTATATGGCCAATGTGCTTGAGCCTATCGTCCATGTGATGTAACACCATAAGCAGTAACTGACCTATTCAATTCTATATAATGAGAAGGGACCCATCAAGGACCTTCACCAAGAAATATGGGACTTTGAATGGAAACTAAGATAAATTTGAAGCATACATGATCTACTTTACAACATGAACTATACTTGAGTGTAATGATTTGAAGTTTGTATTTGGTTTCTAATTGGTATGTGTTCTAGGAGTTCAAGTGTTAAATGCTTATGTCAATTCATTTTATTGCTTCTGGTCACTGATCTAAATCTTTTGATTCTAATTAAATGATTAAAATGATAGAAGGTTCCTTAAGAGAAAACACAATGTCTTGTCAATGATGATAATGTACTGCTAACTTGAGTGAGATAGGATCCAGAATAAACGTTCAGTTTCTTATTTCTTTGTCAAATGATGGTGGGATTGATCTATACAACTCATTTAGCCTTTTTCTTTAATATGGTGATACGTTGCTTTGTTGGTCTTTCATTGCCTGTATGATATCTTTTACTTTGCCTTAATGTTGTGTTAAATCATGGTAATTCTGCCTCAAATTGTGCTCTTGAACCATTGGAGTTTCTTTAATGAGCAACCAAGAAGGATGGGGCCCTTTACCAAAAGTTAGTTATTGAGGAAGCCAATCTACTTAAATATCCAATAGAGCATTCCACATTACTTAATGTGAGACCTATGCGTCTCATACTACCTTAGTCTCCATCAATTGGCTTCCCTTGAGACTTGATATCTCGGCGGCTATACTCTGCAACATTTCACTTGGTAGCACATCATTTGACTTCTTTGCCAATTAGAACCCTCTATGGGTTAGAGCCTTCTGCAGGTAGCCCTTTCAAAAACTGCCAACCATAACTCTAACAACAATTAATGGGCACCCTGGTGGATTGAGAAACCCTTCCCCAAGAGCTAGGTATTGAGTTCAAAAAAGCCAATCTAATTAAATGTCTTATAGAGCATCCCATACCATTCAATGCTGGACTTAAGCATCTCATACTACTTGAGTCTCCATGATACTGTTATTTCATTCTGAATTGAAGAATCTTGAGCACTTTTATTAATTTTAGTTTTTTATAATTAATGGAGAGATGGGAATAAACATTGAAATTAGAAATACTTTTATGCTTCTTTGCTTCGGGTTCCTTTCGTATGTTTTCTTTTAGTTGTTTAGAACTTGATTTCTTGCTGTTTTCCTGATAAAATAGTACATCATGTATTGTGCCCTTTTTTTTTTGTTTTTTGCTTTTTCCTTCATACCTGCTGACATTAATTTTCTTTTCGAACAGACAGAACGACTTGCTATGCTAATAAAAAAGGTAAGAATCTGCAGCTACTCATTATCTTGAGAGTAGAGAGTTCCTTTCTGCATTTTCAGTTTATATGATAGGTGCTTTTGATTTATTTTTTTCTCTTTCTACTTGCAGTGTAAGCATCTAGTCGTGTTTACAGGCGCAGGAATATCAACTTCTTGTGGTATACCTGATTTTCGAGGTCCAAAGGGAATTTGGACACTTCAGGTGATTAGTTTACTGCTTGTCAATTTTCATCAGTGATGAAAAAAACCAGACGGGATCATCGGGTTCAATTGGTTGGTTTGGGAACTAGCCCAGTGTCTAGTCTTAATTTGGGGGAGAATCAGGAATCAGTCTAGAACCAGTCAAACCGGCATGAAATTGTGAACTGTTGAAGCAGTCAATTCTTTTTTTTTTCCCTAAAAAAAAAATTAAATCATTTGTCTAAGCTAGGATTGAAAAAAAGACTAGTGTGGAAATGTGCAAGAAATGTGTGTGTGTGTGTGTGTGTATGTGTTATAAAACTATAAATTTTGAAAGATTTACATTATCTAAATATTACATTAATATCTCATAATTATTTTCTTTTTTATTTTTCAATTGTAAAATATTTATTAATTTCCTTAAATTATATTTTTCAATTTTTTTTCTTTACTCACCATATATTTTTAATTAATTTTAATGTTGTATTTTTTTGAAGCCATTTTTGTTTATAGATTTTTGTTATTATTTTTTATTTCTTAGTAAAAATAATTAGGATATATTTAAAATATATTAATTTAATCATCATTTGTTTGACCACGGTTCGATATTGACCTTTAAACCAATACCTCATTTAGTTCAATGTTCAGTCCAGCTTTTTCATTCTTAATCTTCATTGTTGTAGTAAAGAGTCTCTATAATTAATTTCTTTCGTTATTCATCTTTATTTCAATAGATATTCTAGGATTTTGATGGTGATGTCTAGAAAGTATGCTATGAGGCTTCTGTGAAGTCTCCTCTGTTTATCATGTTTACAGTGTTGCAGATTTTCTTTTTTGTTACATTAAGGGGGTTTGAACCATGGGTTTCTACGCACGCCCCATTGTATCCTTGCTATGTGAGCTAGTGTTAGGTGGCAATAAAGATCAAACTTTATTTGAACTAAAATGTTTATATTATGAATAACCATTTCATTTTTAAAATTTTTAACTTAGATGCTGTGTCTTGACTTTCATGTTTAATAGTCGAGTAAGGCAATTAAGTCAAATGTTTATTGAGCTAGTGACAATTCATCTATGCTTTGTGAATGAAATTTTTTTTTAATGCTAACAAGAGCTTCATGCCTCCTTTGTAAACTTTTTAGTTTTATTATTTGAAAGATATAAAGAGGGTGAAATATTGAAATATTGGTTTTTCTTTAACAGTGAACAAGAAAAATGCATGAAGTGTGATGGTGTAATACAATAAGAAATGTTTTTTTTTATCATATTATTGATGTTTACTGTCTAATATCGTATTAATTATTGGAAAAACAGTTGGATTTCATTTTGTTTGTCAGAATTCTTCACTGTTATTATGACAGTTAAAATGGTCATGCTCTAGTGGACTTCATATGAGCTATTTTAATTTCTGTTATTTTATGTCTACTGCAGCGTGAAGGCAAAGCATTGCCTGAAGCATCACTTCCATTTCATCGTGCAGTGCCAAGCTTAACACATATGGCTTTAATCGCCCTAGAAAAGGCTGGTATTCTAAAGTTTGTTATCAGTCAGGTAATGATGTCACCTTTTCTCTTTATGTGTATATACATGATTCCATTAGATATGTGATGTTAATATTTTGGAATCAGTGTTGTTAATATGAAGTTGAATTATATATGTTTTAGCATGGATTATATATTTTAGTAGGGTTAAGCCGTCAAGTTGGTATTACTTGTTCCTGTGTACAGCTCTTGGTATCCTTTAATCACTGGTTTCTGGCATTGCATTCCATCATAATGGTCATTATAGGGCTGAAGCTAAGCTTTTGTTTTTGAATTAATTTCTGAAAGTAATGCTTTTTTCCTCATGGTAGAATGTAGATGGTCTCCATCTTCGATCTGGAATTCCAAGGGAGAAACTGGCTGAATTGCATGGGAACTCTTTCATGGAAACTTGTCCTTCTTGTGGAGCTGAGTAAGACTATTTAAATTGCAGTTTTTAAGCTTTCTATTTCTAGTATTAGTTAACTACTCAAGCATATCTAAATCAAATGCTTTGTGCAATGGTGTTAAGTTTGGCAAACCAGATTGTCACATAAATGGAAAACTTTGACTGTGAAGATGCGAGGCGGTGTTAAAAAACTAAGCAATCAAAAACCATTTTATTTAGTGAAACCTCTATGCCGTAATTTCTATGTTGATTTTAAAGTCTTCAGATGCAACACAAGTTAGTTCTTTCTGTTTTGCAGCACTCTTTGTAGGCTGTGTTCTAATGTGCTTGACCTGATTTTGATAATTCTCCCATGCTCAAGTAATGGCTTTGGGCTGATATTATGATGACTGATTCCATGTATTTGTCTTCAACTAGACTTTTTATTTAGCTATTTACTTATTTATTTTCTTTTGTATACAAGAACTAATATCTTATCAAGGATATCCAGATTGCTTCCTGTGTTCAGAGGCTAATGAGCCTCCACTTTTGACCCTTTCATATTTCTGCTAGTTCTTTGGTGTGCATTTTTGTTGTCAGATGCCTTTCATTTTTCCATGTCCTTAATGTTTTAATATTTTTCTTAAAAGGATCATGAAAATTTTTTAATTATATTTAATAAACCTGTTAAGGTACTTTCGAGATTTTGAGGTGGAAACTATTGGTTTGAAGGAGACATCACGGCACTGTTCAGATACAAAATGTGGATCAAGACTGAAGGATACAGTTCTTGACTGGGAGGTATGGTGATGTTCATTTTCTTGCTGGCAACTGCATGGTGTATCACTTGGAATTGTCGTTTACTTTATGATTGGCACAGGATTTCAAACTATATGTTGTTTAGCCCCAGCACCACTGCTTGATAATGCTTTTGTTGCCCTAGATACAATTAGGTGTTTGTACGCATTGATTACATCTATGCTGCCACTTGTATAAACATAATGCTGGAGCTTTCAGCTGACTTCTTATAGATTATTCTTATATTGGAGAGAAAAAGGTGTTCTGCTGTTTTTTGGTGTTAGCACACCTTCTTTCCTACATCTACCTCTGGCTACCAGGGCTTGATGTACTGTAGCTGACTTACTGAAATTAGTGTTCTGTCTGAAGTGCAGCTCTTTCACTTCTGACTATCAGGGTGACATTTTTATGCTATTAAAAGGATATTGTCGAGAAAATGAAGTGATTTATGCTCTGAACTAGTTCAAGTAATTGTGACAAATCCTCTTGACCAAAGTTAACCAATGTAGTGACACTGACTACTTGTTGCTCTCAGTTGTTAATAATGATGAAATAGGACTGGGGGAAAATTCCATTTTGTTTTTTATTATAGTATTTTTCAGTACATATTGATTTTGATCTCTCTGTACAGGATGCTCTGCCTCCAAACGAGATGGATGCTGCTGAGAAGCACTGTAGGATGGCAGATATTGTGTTGTGCTTGGGGACAAGGTAACAACTCGTTTTGTTACTTAACTGTAAAACTGCTCCCCCCCCCCCCAAAGTGTCCATCTCCCTTCCCTTGTTGCTTTAGCCTTCTTTTTTCTTTTTTATATATAAATTAATGGCTTAATGCTCATGTCTTTCTTCCTACTTGCTTGTCCACACTCGTAGGAAAACAGCTTTTTGTTAAATGTGGATGAGATCTTTACTTGAAACAGACCTTTTCTACATTGATGTATGCCCATTTTATTTTTATGCAGTCTACAAATTACTCCAGCATGCAATCTGCCTCTAAAAGCACTTCGTGGTGGGGGTAAAGTTGTCATTGTCAATCTCCAGGTATTTTGTCTTTTGATTTCTAATCTGTTTTTGTGATCATGGTTGTCATGGAGGATGAAAAGAGATTGGGAAAGATAATATTAATTATTTAAAAATTACAAATTAAAATTAAATATAGCAAATAGCATTTTAAATAACGTCAGGATTGTTTTAATTAAGGATAAATTGGGATTTGAATTGGAAATTATAATTATTTTTCATTTTATTTTGTTTGGATTTTGTGTGTGTGTGTGTGTTTGTGTGTAGGATTATGGTTTTCTTTTTCTAAGATTTCCTTGTTATCTTGCATTTTTAATTTTATCTTCTTGGCTCTCAATATAAAGTTTAGAGTAGCCTATTTGGTTGATTATTAATAAAACTTTATTCGTTTTAGCTGTCTTTCCTTCTCAGTCCTTCTTCACTCCCTTTTTAATCTGTCTCCTCCCCCTCCCTTTCCTTTATTTTTGCAACTAGTTCTCGGTCAATTTGGTAACAGAGCAAGGTTTTATCCCTTGTAGGTTTGGTAATATTGAATGTTGGGGTGACATATTTTAGGTGCCATTAGTCAACTATGTAGACAAGTCACTAGCAAAGGCTTGGAATGGTTAAAGGTAGAAGTGTCTTCAACAAGAATCCAATGCTTTAGGGAAAACTATCTTAACAATGCCCAATATTATCATTGTGAGTCCACTTGATTGCCCGTGAGATATTGATGATGATGATAACATCACAGATTTTTATGAGCAATTGGATCTAGATTTTGATAATGAAGTTCATTATGATTATGTATAGCAATTTGAAGTATAATCTTTAGAATTCTGCGTTCAGATTCAACCAAATCTGCTGTTAGGCCCACCTAATTTTGTTATTCCAGATATCTTAGAGAATCTGAAGCTATCTTGGCTTCCACATTTTTGAATAGTAGTGCTCCAGCATGACCTCCAAGATGAATTTCTCTGCTACTCCACTTTAAAACTCAAGCTTGAGTTTTCTCCAGCCTGGTAGAATGATGGAGAATGAAATTAGAATGGGATAGATGATATTAATTATTTGTTGACAAATTACAGATAAATGTATAAAGTAACATTTGAAATAAGATTATGAGTATTTTAATTAAGAATAATTTTGGATTAGAGTTGTTTATTTTAATGTATTTTATCTCTTGGCTCTTTTTGATTGATTATGAAAGATATATTAACCCAAAATTATGGAAGAAGTTTTTGAAAATTTTGGAATGTGGCCCATTTACAATTAGTTGGGGTGCGGTTTTCCCTTTTGATCTCTAAAACAAATAAAAAAAAAACTTGTGCAACAGAATAACAAAATTCTCGTAACTGAATTATTATAATCGTGGCTCATTTACAACCATATATTGCTTTAATATTTGAACACTTTTGAATACTTCACCATCAGCTTAGTGGGCATAATATGTTTCAAATTTGAAAATGAGAATAAGATTTCAGATTTGAGAAGAAGGGGTGTTTTTGTCATTTTTATTTAACTAAATATTAATCCGGCCACATTGCAAAATATTTAAAATGTTAGGCTATTATTTTTGTTCGGTCCTATTAAGTGGACTATATGTGCAAAAGTCCCTTAATAAAACTCTTGGCTCAATAGCTGTCTCTTACCTTCACATCTACCTCTTCCTTGTCTTTTGTCCTCTCTTTTATTTCTTTATCAACTCTCCCTCCATTTTGTGGTAGTGAATTTTTGGAGTTGAGATCCGTTAGTTTCTATTTTGCTTTCTTTTGTAACAAAATTTGAGAGTTAAAGAATGACATGTCAAATTCATTGCTCATATTGAAGGGAAAAGAATGCTATGTTTTTTAATAAGAACAACGATGCTATTTTAACTCTGCTTGTTAGATTAGAAACTAAAATACTGATAAAATGAGATGTCACTTTTCTCACAAGTGGGATATATTTACAATGCAGTCAAAAACGCCCCCTTACTACTATTCTTAACTTTCTGGCTAGACGTATTTTTGCATATTAAAATGATATAAATTTGCCATATTTTATAATTCATATTACTTTTCACTTGTTATTGAATCTTAGGATTTGATTGTCTTCTAATAAAATGTGGAAACATGCTTTCTGATTTGTGATACTTATCACGGTTAGATGCTGATGGAAATTAGATTCAGGCTCAACTCAATTCTTTTAACTGATCGTTGGCTTCTCAATTTTAGTTCTTCTAGTTTTAACTTTGATGCACGCTAACTATATTAGCTGTCTGAAGTGCACTATTTTGGACTCCACAGAAGACTCCCAAGGATAAAAAGGCTTGTTTGGTCATCCATGGGCTAGTAGACAAGGTATTTTAATCTGAATTCTATTTAAATACTTCCTATTACCTTTATTCATTGAACAAAATTTTATAGTTTTGTCTGAACTCATTTTACATTGGTATTAATGTAATGAAAAGTCATTGATAGAGTCAATGGCTAGGCTAAGGCAATTTAGATGGAAAGCAAGGTCTTTTTATTAAGAATGATGTTGGTTCAACCTTTTGTTGTGATTAGAAAGAACAAGGGGAGTTGAATTGGTACTCAGGAACTTAGCTGATTATAGAAATATTGTGAAAATGAATAAATATCTGGGCTACACAACAGCTACAACAATAAGCCTTATTCCACTAAATGGGTCGATTATATGTATTGCACATGTCATTGTGCTCTATCAACAACCAAGTCTTTGGGCTTTTTGTTAATCAAAAGTTCTCATTTAACAACTTTATTGAGTGATCTCTTTGGTCTTCCTTTGCCTCTCTTTATAGGGCTTAAGGCAATCTGTTCTGCTCTCCTCATCAAAGCCTCTATGGCATTCTTTGTACATATCCAATTCATTTTTAATGATTTTCTACCATCTTCTCTTCAATAAATGTCACTCTTACTTTTTCTTGTATGTGTGCCCATTATAGATTTTATCTTTTTGTGCATACCCATACATTTATCTCAGCATCCTTATCTCTACTACTTCCACTTTATGGCATAAACATCTTGAGTGACAAGTCTTTCAGAATATCTTGTGAAGATGTGCACCACATTGAAAATAATTTACAGTATGGTCTCTATTATGATATAAATATATTAGCTTATAGCCAAATAGTAAAGGCAATTTAGCCTGTCTAAACTATTCAAATTAAATTTACATATTATCCTTAAATTATATTGTAAATGGTCTTAGAAGTAGTTGAATAGCTTATAATGCTATGCCATACCAGAAGTCCTCTAGTTTCCTCTTTACCCATACTGACAGCAATGGAAGAGGTTATATTAATGATATTGTTTTGTTTTAAATTTTATTTGCTATTTATGGGATTATGTTTGATCTTTTTTTTTTTCCTTCACTTCTTGTTGATATAAGTTTTTTCTTTTCAAAGTTTAAAACATTTTTTTTATGATCAAGAGTACTGAGCTGATATTGGAAACATAATATTTGAAAAGCTATATACATTAGTTTGTTGCAGGTGAAGAATGACTTTGCAGTTAAGTTACAAGGAAAGATCTTTGAATAAAAATTTCATATTGCTTTACTACCAAATACCAATTAACTAATGCAAATTTTTAGTTTTATAATTCTTTGTCAATTGAAAAATGTGAAGCACTTCTAAGTCTTCTTTCTTTTCCCCCCATACAGTTAGTTTATCTTCTATAGAAATGTTCGCTACTGCTTGGTGCTTCCCCCTACCATTGCAACAACCGTATTGATCATTGAAGCATAATGTCCAATGAGTGTTAAAAAAAAAATTTAATGCAAACTGATCAAACTTATGAGCTGTTCCTATCTCTTATTGAAGCTTTAACAGATTCCATTATGAGATAACATGGAAGAAATTCAAGATATTTTATTAATTCCTTTTGCATTCTATTTCTGAGGATATGATTTACATTGCTAATGCCTACTGGCATCTTTATAATCCAGTTTCATAATAGTACACGATGTATTCTTTCTACATGCTCACTATCTTCATATCTGGATGTGCAAGTATTAAGTGAAATGAATGACAAATTTATGATGTTTTTATCCAGAGAATGTCAACCACTCACTAGGTTAATTATGATTACATATTTATCTGAGATAAATATTGATGTGACTTTCATAAATTTAATTTGTACTGATTTAAACAAGAACAGGTAATTGCAGGTGTTATGGAATTGCTGGATCTGCAGATTCCTCCATTTGTCAGAATTGATCTTTTCCAAATCATTCTAACTCGAGCCTTGAGCATTGGTAACCACGGTTTGATTTGTAACTTTGCCGTTATATTCTTTCATTAGGATGGACATAAATTCTGAAACATTGAGCATCTTGCATGCTTGGAAGTCATGATGTTGTCCTTTAGCATTCTATGCTCCCGGCTCGCTGTGGCAGTTAGAAGTTTTAGCTACAGTTGATGGCCACATCTGACTAATTCATAAGTCTTAACTTGGTTCACCATAACAGTAAAATGCTGAAATTTTTCATGAGTTTTCAAGCTTCAGTATGTTGTGACTGTAAAATGCTGAATTTTTTTTAAATGAGTTTTCATGCTCGTATAATAAAGTTATATATATATATATATATATATTTAGGTTTGCACAAAATATCATTTTTTTTTTTTTTACATGAAATTGTATGACTTTATATAACCACGTCGTTATATTTCTTCTATTGAAAATGTTACTGGATAAGATTCTTTTGCATGTAGTAAGATTCTTTGTCTAATTATTTCCTATTTTCGTTGTTCTGTATCTGTCAACTCATTCAATCCAAGACATGGGGGTGGGTTTTTGGTATTCTCATGAGATCCCGGGTTGCGCAAATTTCACACAAAAAGCATAAAAGGCCAAGTCACTGGTGTCATTGACTTGTATGAGGCTTTCGTTTTTAGTGATGGTACATTCACTTGCATTACAGATGGAAGATATGTGAACTGGACTCTACAGGTTGCAAGTGCTCATGGACCAAAAGCAGTGTTGCCATTCATTAAGTCTGTGGAGGTGAATACATTAAACCTGGAAGCTAATTTTGCATGTTTTCTTTTACTGGATTCAGATTCCTAGTAGCTTGGACTCGTTTTTAGATGTTTATTTACATGTCTTGACCCCTCACTTCACATGAAATTATGTCATTGCTTTTGGACCCCTTGATGCTGGTATTTTCTCGCATCACATTGTCTAATAGGCTAATGTTTTGCTAGAATTTTAAATATAGGATCTTCCGGGTCTGCCAACCCAACAAAGAAAGTAAACAGATAATTTGTTGAAGTTTGTGAGAAGATAACTTTCTTTCTAAATTGTTAGCTTGACAGTGAGTGAAGCTGTGCTAAACCGGTAAAACCCTGCTATTGCCTCGTTTGTATTTGGGAAGGGAGAATGGATCTCACTAGTTCCTAACCTAATTGATCCAGCTGCATTTTATTTAAACCAATTTATAATTTCATGCTATTTGCAAAACAGTTTACTTTGCAATCAGCACATTGTTCTTCCTATGCAGGTCTCCTTCTTGGACAAGGAAGATTACAAAGCCGCCACACTAACAACACAACCATTTCGGCTTAAAAGGTTTAATAATGAAATGCTCTGCTATTTTACTTTGGTAAAAAGAATTTATTTGTTAGAAGCAGTGGTTGCATCGCATGTATTTTGCTGTTGAAATATTCACCTGTTGGTTGGTTCCCTCATTTTTGAGAAGAATAAAGTGAATTGGTGCAGTTTGAGAAATTCTAGAAGGAAAAAGAAATTAAGATTTCTAAAGCAAAATCACCATTTTGTAGAGTTTCTCTCAATTTGTGCATGATAGGATAGATGTCGTGGCCTGCACCTTACATTTGGATGAATGATCATCAGGAGAACAATTCCCAGCAAAGCCTTTGAAATGGTTTTGAAACTCAACTTCAGTGATGGCTGTGGCTGCTCTTCCATTGAAATTGACGTCCCAGTCGATTTTCAGGTGAGAGGATTGTGTAATAATTGCTTCCTCTTTTTTGATGTGATGAAATGCAGAATGGGAATAAGATAATATTATATCCTATAATAAATTATTCCCAAAAGGAAAAACAAAGGATAAAAGCATGGACAACTATTACATGTATGTTGATAAAAGCATGGACAACTATTACATGTATGTTGATAAAAGCATGGACAACTATTACATGTATGTTAACTTGAACAAAACCAGATCGGTTAACAGCACACAAAGAAACCCAAAACTGATACCAACAAAAATCAATATTAACAAGAGAAACAATTAATCCACCCTTCACAAAGAGGTGATGAGAACTGATCCCGACTTAATGAGAAAATCCTTCACTTGAAGGACTTTAGGTGTAATGCATGAGGTGAGGCTTTAACCTTCCTTTAGGCAGGACTCAATCTCCTTACCTCTAATACAATGTGATACCTTTATATAGATTTTAAGGTCACCAATTAACTAGGTGATTGACACTAATAACCTTGACTAATCCAACAATGTATCTTCATTGCAGGTTTCAATTGACTGTTTCAACTTTGATAAAGATGTTGTGTTCCAAAAGCTGAGAGACAAAGCAATTGGGGAATCAAAATGTGGGCAGATTGCTGTTGTTGAGAGAAAGGCAATCCCGAAACCAAGAAGTGATATCACTGTTCATGCCATTGTGACCAATGTTATTCAGTACAGCCAAACATGTAAAGCATTTCCTGATTTTCTTACCAATGGTGACCTTAAAAACAGCGTGTCTAGTATAAATGGTACAGAATCATCTAGGAAGCGTTCAAAAAGATCTAAGAAGCGTAAATCCAGATTATAGATTCCTAGGGACTAGGTATAGTTTTGTATATGCATAATGCATTAGAACTGACACAAATGGTTATATGTAAAGGCTGGGTGAATTTTGTTAGATATTGCACTCAGTCTTTCCTTTCGTGGCTGAGTAAATGGCGTCCATGTTGTCAAAGTTTATCAAATATGAAGGGCTTAGATTTAGAAAACATTATGAACGAGTCTCGTATAGTAGACTTATTTACAAATTAGTCTTGTAAAATTGAAAAAAAAAAAAAGTCCCATAAGACTTTGTTGTAATTTGTAGTTGGGGTATAAAAACAATATTGCCCCTGTTAATTTGGATTTCATTTATAACTACAACTTCACAATTTACAACAACTGCCTTTGTTTAACACTCTATATAATATAGAGTCTCTATGGAGTTAATTAAGTCTATTTAAGGCTATAATTGGTCTAATTGAGATGTAAAATTCATAGTTCACCATGTAATTATAACTTAAAGAAGCATAATTAACTTTATAAAGACTCTATATTATATGAAGTGTTAAATAAGAAATTTGACTTATTAATTATGAAGTTTTATTTGTAAATTGTAAATTTGTGGTTGTAAGTAAAAGTCAAATTATCAGGGACAATATTGTCCTTATACTCAAATTATAAATTACACTCACGTTTCAAAGAACTTGGTTGTAATTTTTGATTTTTGAAAGACTTATCTGTAGATAAATATATTATTTGAGACCTATTTGTAATTTTCCCTTAGATTTATACATGAAAGTAGTGAAATTTTTTGAAAAAAAAAATCCAAATTTGTACTGTTTAAATTTCATCTGATCAATCTTTATAAGATGTGTATCTTAGATGTGTAGGACATTTCTACTCAATATCTTTCTTATCTTGTTTTGTTTAGTAGTAATGATTAAAGTTATAACGTGATTTTGCAGTGTGTTCCATAAAATGTCGTCATTCATGCCATTTCTACAGTTTTTACTTCACTTAAATTATTCAAATTGTTGATTCATCAATCTATCTTTAATATGGTTTTTTAACATTTATTTGACAAATATTAGTTAAGAGCACCTTCTCCATGTTAGATTGCTTCCTTTTCTATATGGTTTTTGTAATGTCTGCTCTAACGTTACTAAACACACAAAATACGAGACACAAAATACTATTATCATAATTAGGATTAATTAAATTCCTTATGTAAGGTAATCATAACACAAGGGTTAAGAAAAATTAATTTAAAAGATTCAGATCCTAAAAAACTTTTTTTAAAAAGACATTTGAGCTCTAACTATAGTTTAAAATAAGTTACACAATATAGTGAAAGCATAAAAATCCAATACAACCTTATATACTTCAATTGGAGCATTTTGGGAATTTTCCAAAAAAGCACCGTTCGTTGTGGCAGATGGTATAAAGGGACCACGTCCCTCTTTGTGCAGTGCACTACAGCGCATTTATTTTGCTCCGCAGCACACTCCTGTTGTCATGACAGCAAATAATTGTCATGATAGCACTCCAGAACTAACTTTTAGAGTTTGTTGTTTTGCCACTCGACGTTTGATTTGAGCGATTCAAGTGCTCACATGTGGCTTTTTGAGCCACCTAACTATTGGCATCGATCTCATACCCATACACTTTATCATATAAAAGTTGGACATCCAAATATAAAATGAGACATTTTCCTTTCAAAACAACCACAAGAGTGTCCAGGACACATACCTAGTGCCAATGATCTTGTGGCTACTTGGTCCAAAGCCACATACCTAGTGCCAATAATCTTGGAGCCACTTAAACCAACTCAAATGAACCATAAATAACTTGATAAAATAATTATACAACAACCAAAATAATCCAAACACAAATTGGCCACCAAAACCCCAATTTCACAATGAATTCAAGAGGTGATAATAATTCACAATAAACATCATTTTGGCCATTTCAATACGTAAGCAACTCAAAACATCACTTACACTAATATCTCAACCATTCACAACCAATTCAACATAAAAACATCATTCTAGGTTGAGATACATATATTTACACAAATTCTTGTGCAAGTGACTACAAAATGGCACATGATCCTAAGTTGGCATAAACATAAATCATTCGTTACAAAATCAAAAGATAGAGTGAGAAAACTATACATCACAAGTCCCTCAATTCTCTATAGTACTTTTCTTTTCTTTGCTCCTATCGGAGCCTTCACTTGTAAAATTTAACCATAGGGTGAGTTAAGGACTTAGTAACCAAATAATATAAACAAAATACTCATGTGTAAGAACAATTAGTGAGTATGTGAAGTGACATTTAATATGCATATTCCATACATATCATGTTACACACACACACACATGGCTATACATTAAAGATATGCATGATTAACACACCGCCTTATATCCTATTTATTTCCTCTGACTGAATCAATAGATTGACAATTCGATAGAATTGAATCCATATGACTGAATAGGCTCAAGCTCACCAATCATAGGAGGCAGTCCTGGCCAAATGTGCCTTCACCCATTATAGACTACAAATTCCCCCTTTCCATAAATATCCGAGGTGTAGTATGCCTATTCTATTTTAAATAGTATTGGGACTTTCAAACAAATATAGAACTATACACTAGGGCCTCCATGGTGCCAATGTATCATATAGATTTTCAAACAATGTTCTCGACAACAATACTAGGGTGAACTCCCACTCTCTCACAATGATCATGCCAAACATATACTCAACAATTTCACACATAGACATAAACATATAAATTTGCACTTGAATAATCATTTCCACCATAAATCATATAATTTAGCAAATAGATATATATAAACATAAGATTTAGCATAAAACTTCCAAAACCCCACTTGTGCAAAACATAGTTATTCATCCTACTTTGCATAATGTTTCTAAAATATAATCATTTTTCATACTAATACTATACTAGTCTAAAGCAATAGTAGTTTTTGCAATTGCTACACAATCATCCAAACACATAAATCGGGAGTTTAAACAATTTAGTTATCTCAACAAAAAGGTTACCATGGTCAAAACTTGGTTTCTCAAGTGTCTACTAGTGTAACAACGCCCAATCAATAATTAATCTATAAGATGAAACATTTAACATCAATTCTCACCCTAATTAACCCCTTTTTAACACCATCAACTCTCTAAACACGCTCCATTAATCTTATTTAGCCTTTAAACACTTAAATAGGCTTAAATATTTACCCATATTGCTTTACAAACCCTCAAATATCACTTATGGTTAGTCCAAATCCTAACCAAAAATTTTAAATCACTACAAAATTTATAAATATAGATTTAGAAGCTTGATTTAACTCTCCAATACCTTAATTAAGTCAATGGGTTTAGTCAAAACAAAAAAAAACACAAAATCAAGCCCCAACCATATCTAAATCTACTAAAAATTCACATAAAAGAGAGGGAAGAGGTAGAGAAAACTTACCCAAGGGAGTAGCAAGCTCTAAATACCTCCAAAATGCTCTAAAAGTTAAGCCCTAGTAGACCCAAGAGCCTTCTCAGTTGCCTCTCACGTTTTCTTTCTTTTCCCCTTCTAAAATCAAACACAATCTTGTGTCTAATTTAACCCAGAAACTAGCCATGAATCGCAGCGCAAGGTGCGTGTGCCATGGCACATGGCATAGAAAATGCCACATGTCAATATGGCCACTCACTCGAGTCCAGTCAATCCATATGTCATCTTAGCTCATTTTTCAAGCTATTCAAAAGTCCAAAAACCTTATTAGTCATCCAAAAACACCATGAACTTATTAATCGCTTAATTTTACCAGTTTTTACTTTTAAACACTTAAAATTTCAAAATTTAAAATCTAGAATGTTACAGTTTTATTGCCATATCTTGTTGCAGTAAGGGGAAAATAGACCCACAAGGAAACCAATGTTTATCTTCACTAATTTTATGCAGTGTTGCTTTCTCTTGAACAAGGTACTAGACTTCAAAGCCTGTTGAGTAAAAGATTTTAACATCACACACTCCCTCTTCTTAAGGTTTCTTTTCATCTTTATTTCTTTTATAGGTAAAAGATATTTTTAACACTTGACTATTTAAATAGGAGTATCTGATATTTTAAAATTTTGTTGTGGTATAATATCCTCTTTTAACCATTAAAAATGAGTCACGAAACTTAATTTATCAAGTTGCTGCAATGTTATTTTAAAATTTGAGAAGACTTTACAATGATAGAGTGGATTTCATCCTTCTAACTCTTTTTCCACTAGACTCCAAGTCACTGGCTTACTTGATGAACCAAAATCATAATTACAACATATATAAGACAAAATTTAACTTACAAGACACAAAATACAATTTTAATTACAAGACATTTTGGTATTATTTTATAAATGTTTGATAAACTCACTTTTTCACTTTCAAAAAGTTCTTTTGCATTTTTAAGAAGCTCAAAGTTGTTTGAATATCAAATTTTACCCAAAAACAACTTTCTAAAAATCACATTTCTAAAAAGTTCTTTCTAAGGCATTTAATAGAAGAATTAACATTTACCAAATTTTATATTTGACTATTTTACTCCAAACATTATATATATGACCTTCATTTCCTTATTTGGATTTATATCCATAAAAAAATAATGTATAAATTGGTATTTTAAATATTGACTTCAAAGCTACAAGTCATTAGATACATAATATAAAATCCATAGTCATTCACCATAACTATGATAGTGAGCTATATGATTTTCATCCTATCAACCTAATAGACATCATTTTCGTTTGTATTCATATGTTTTGTAATTATTGAATTGCTATGTACTTTAAAAAAAAACTTCAAAATCTTTTTATTGACAATGACATTACCTTCAAATTTATAAGTATTATTTTTATTTATTATATTTGATATTTTGACAATATCTCATGTGATGTATACTTTTAAAATTTTGTATAAAATTTTATTTTATTTTATATTATGAATTTTTAAATAGATGAAACAAATTGTACGGATTGAATTCATAACCTCTATAAATTTAACAAATGTTATCAGAGCTCAATAAGTGGTATCAGAGCTCATCCTTATAATATCTAATTTTTTTAACTTTAAAACTAAATAAAATACCTTAAAAAATAAGCTAAAATGAACATTAATGATCATATATTTTTAGAAACTGTTATTGTAGGTAA